TTTTTTTTAAGAAATGGCTACTCAGATCTTTAACCAGTTTTAAATTTGGGTTTCTTGCTTTTGGGTTGGTAGGTTTCCATATGGTATATTCTGGATATCAACCCTCGTCAGATGTATGTTTATAAATAGTATTTTCTCCCATTCTGTATATTGTCTCTTAGCTTTATTTCCCTTGCTATGCAGAAGCTTTTTAGTTTGATATAGCACCATCTGTCAATTTTTGTTTTGGGGGGCTGGTGAGATGGCTCAGTGGTCTAAAGCACCTACTTAGAACAAGCTAAGCTAAGCAAAACACGGGGACCGCGGTTCAATCCCCAGCACCACATGCCAGCCAGGCCTGCCCCCTGGTGGGCTGAGCTGGCCACACACACACTAAATAAACAAATAAATAAATAAATATTTAAAAAAATTTTTTTTGTTTTTGTTGCCTGAGTATGGCCAAAAAAATCATTTCCTTTGTGTTTTCCAATAGTAGTTTCTTGGGTTTTACATTTAATCCACTTAGGTCCTTTTTGCATTTCTGGTGATTGAGCTAAGGGCATTCATGCTAAGCCACATTATCAGCCCTTTTTATGTATTGAGATAGCATCTTGCTAAGTTACTCAAACTCTCAAACTTGCGACCCCCTTGTCTTAGACGCACTGAGATGTTTTATGTTTACAGCATTAGACCTTAGTCCACTTAGATTTTTAAACCATTTTAATCCATTTTGGGTTGATCAATTTCATATTCTTCAAGGGCCAGCCAATCAGCTCAGCAGATTAAAGTGCCTGTAAGCAGGTGCAGAGGCTAGGAGTTCAATCCCTCATGGTGGCGTGCCTGTAATCCCAGCACTTAGGAGGCTATAAACAGGCAGATCACTATGAGTCCAGTCTAGTAGTGAGACCCTGAGCACCCTGTAGACCCTTCCCTAAAATACAAAAAAAAATTCGTATTCTTCATACAGATACCAAGGTACCTAGTTTTCACTTGACAAGACTGTCCTTTCCTCATTGTTTTTGGCTTCTTTGTTAGAAGTCACTTGGTTGTAAATTCATGGTGGTATTACTGGACTGTATTCTATTATAGTGGTTCTATTTTTTTTTTCATGATTCATATATCATTCTGTTTTGATTACTTAAGTATTGTTGTACATTGCCTCCAGCTCTGCTTTTTGCTCAGGATTGCTTTGACTACTTGGGATTCTTCATGATTTTATGCAGATTTTATGATTTTTTTTTCTAATTCATATGGACAGTGACATTCATACTTTGATGGAGATTTTTTTTGTGTGTGGTACCAGGGATTGAACTCGGGACCCTGTGCTTGCCAGGCAAGCACTTATTCTACTGAGCCATCTCTCCAGCCCCCTTTTATGGAGATTGTATTGAATCTGTAGATTACTTGGGAGTTATTTAGTCGAGGAGATAGGGTATGTCTTTTTTGAGACAGGTTTTTACTATGCAGTTTAGGTTGACTTTGAACTCATTTGGTAGCCCAGGCTGACCTTGAACTTGCAGTGATCCTCCTACCTTAGTCTCCTTAGCCATGCACCACCATTTCAGGCAATAAAATTATTTTGGATTATACAGTTTCATGGGGTGGGGGGGGCAAAAAAAGTACAGTTTCACAGTGTTCTGTTTGTGAACCTAAGACATCTTTCCACTTACTTACATCTCTTTAGTTTTTCTCAGTGCTTTGTAGTCTTAATCTTAGAGATCTTTGACTGCTTCGATTATATGTATTCCTAAGATTTCATAGCAATGATAAATAGGTTTGTTCTCTTTTTCAGATAACTGGCTGTTAGAATATAGAAATGCTACTGACTTTTTCTTAAGCTTTATTGAACTTGCTTGTTCCAACAGGTTTTTAGTGGAGTCTAGGCTTTCTAAGCACAAATTGCAAACAGACAGTTTGGCATCCTACTTTTTAATTTGGGAGTCATTTATTTCTTTTTCCTAATTGTTGAGTTTATGATTTCTACTACTGTGTTGAGTAAAAGTGGACATTCTTGTCTTATTCAGATCTTAGAAGAAAAGCTGTTTCATTTTCACCATTCAGTATGACACTCACTGTGGGTTTCAGTATATGGAGTTTTTAATGTTCTGTCACTTCTATAGTTTAGATATTAAATGTTTCACAAAATCCCATATGTTGAAGGCTTTGTTCCCGGCCTTCTACATGAGGAAGTGGTAGAACTTTCAGAAGGTTAGGCCTAGTGGAGGGAATGTAAGACACTGAGGCATGCCCAGGAAGGAAACATTGGGACTTCTCTCCTCACATTACTTGCTCTTTGATTCCCAGCTGCCTTCGGGTGAGAAGCTTCCTCTGATGCACACTCCTGCTGTGATTTACTACCTTATCACAGGCTCGAAAGTAATGGGACCAACTAACCATAAACTGAATGGTTTAAAATCATAAGCCAGTATAAACTTTTCTTTTTAAGTTGATTCCCTCTTGTAATTGTTACAGTAATGGAAAACTAACAAAATTGTTAAGTTGTTGAGTTTTTACTATGAAGAGATGTTTATCAACTGCATTTTCTGTGTCTACTAAAACAATCATGTGATTTTTGTGCCTTATTCTGTTCACATGATGTATCATGTTTATTTATGTAACCATCCTTTTATGCCAAGAATGAATCCTACTTATTTCGGTGAATAATCAGTTGAATGTGCTTTTGAATTAGTTTGGCAGTATTTTGTTGACAATTTTTGTGCTGGCCTGTAGTTTTCTCATTTGTTTCTGTGTTCTTATCCCCCTTTGGTAACAGAATAGCAGTAGCCTCGTAGAATGAATATGAAAAAATTCCTTCTACTTTGTTTGGAAAAGTTTGAAATATGTGTTATGAAAACTTCATCCTTTAAGAGCTAGGGCGGTGCTACAGTTTTCTTGTTAGGAGGTATAGACTAGCTCAAAAAGGCAGGCAATTGGGGACATGAACTGGAAGGACCAGTGTTCCTTGCTGGCTACTCCCTTTCTGCTCTGCTTTCTCACAAGCCAAAGTGAACTACTTTCCTCCTTGGAATTAGCTAACTAGGGTCCAAAATCACTGCAAACTGTGAGCCTGAATAAATCTCTCTTTAAAGTCATACATGATTTGTATTGTGTCTCAGTTATGAGAAAATGACTAAGACAATAAGACCATTAGGGCATTAGGGTATTGGAGGGTTTGCTTATTATTTTATGTGGATGTACTTTCCCTGTGGATTTTATAGCTTTAGATGATTTCATGTTACACACTGGTGCTGTTTTGTTTCAGTTTGAAGTATTTCCTTCAGCATTTCTTTCAAAACAGGTTTTATGTTAACAAATTCATTCAGAATTTGTCTGAGAAGGTAAAGACCTTTATTTATAAGGAATGTCTTTGCCAGTTATTATAATATTTCTTGCCCTTTTTTTTCCTTTAAAACTTTTCATCTAGTGTTTCTTTTTTGTTTGCTGTTAATATTTGAGACTGGGCTAGGGATGTATCTCAGTGGCAGAAGTACCTGCCCGGCAAACAGAAAATCCAGAGTTTGATCCCCAATACTGTTTAAAAAAAAAAAAATTGAGACTGACCCCAGGACCTTCATACTGAACTACATCCCCAGTTTTTTTTATAAATTTCATTTTGAGACAGGGTCTCTCTAGATGCTAAATTTCCTAGACTAAACTCAAACTTGTGATCTTCCAACTCAGCCTCCCAAAGTGCTGAATATTTATTGTTTCTATAAGAATGTTTTCAGGCCCTGTTTACCCCTCTTTGCCTT